AAAGACAAAAAGTCAATTTATTGGTTGATATACAAAGAACACAAACAGAAAGTAGACTTTGATGTATGCACGGCATTAAGAGACGCATTAACGTCCTTGCAGTCAACTGGAGGGAGCTGCAGAGATTTCGCTCTTTCTAAGGTGCTGCTTGTGAACATGCAGCGTTCGCTCTGCATATGTTTAGGTAGCACCAGCTGAGTCTCACAGCCTCGGTTTTCACAGACACTATTTAATTGGCTGATTTGCTGTTTACTCTCCCCTGACGCACTCAGGCACATGACGTATGAAGAGTTATGTGCACACTGACGATGCATATGCTTTAAAAAGTTTATTAAAAAGTTTAAGGTTGCTAATCCCTGTAGTCAAACATGTGCAAAGTCACAGAGTGGCAGCTGCTGTCCTTTAAAGGACCTGTATAATGCTGACGCGTGTGAGGCTTTATTGACTTTCTTTAGTATCATTTGCATTTTCTGTAGTCTGATAACTACAGCCACTTTCAGTTATTCCCAAAATTGCTGTATTCACAAATGATGGGGTTGGTACACAACGTTTTATCACCTGTTGCAAGCATAATAATAAAATAGCCACCTATTAGGTTTATTCTCAGTGAAGCATGAAAGGTGGAGCACACTGAGGCCACCCATGCAGCAGTGTGGAATCAACCACATTGTCACCTCCCACATGGCTCCTCCATTAGAGTGCGTATCAAACAGAGTGGATATGACAGTGGTATCAGTCACTCTCTGGGTGGTGTCGTGACTTGTTTAAAAAAAAGAGCTTTGACAAAGAGTCTTTGTGCGTCTACATCTACCCGTGGCTCTGCTGTCTCACTCACAAATGTATCTGTGCACTCTGAGACACACAAACAGGAACACACATTTCTTCAAAGCTGTTATTATCCATGTAGCCATAATGACATATTCATAATTCTTCTCCGGTTGAATAGTTTGTGTGTGTTGCAGTGTGCGATTGCGTTTGTGTGTCCGTAGCAAAGAATCAGTCTAAATGTGTATTTTCAGGTTAGTTTACTTGATGAAAATATAGAAATGTCCTTGTTTGTTCTACAGCGAAAGGTTTTCCAGGCTTCATAAAAAAAAGTGTGTGCTCCCAGTTTTACCATCTTAAATTTTTGCACCCCCCCACCCCCACTTCTCTGTGCTTTCACTCAGCTAAAATCAGGTGGCATTCAGTGGGGAAATTCAGCACAGTGGTCTGCTGTCAGGACCACGGCTATTCTTTGAAGCAACCAGTGACACCCAAAAACCAACATGTACAATGGTAGATGCACCTTATTAAATTTTGGGTATTTTCTTTATTTCAAAGAGAAGTAGACAGAAAAAAAACTACAATTGGCAGTTTGTGTTGTACTAATACTACATGCAGGGATCTTACTTCCCTGGCAGGTTTGCATGGCTGTTGTCTCATCAAGACAAAACTCAAGAGTATTCTCTCTCTGCTCTTCCTCTTCGGTCATAAGATGCACTTAAAGCTGGGCCAGACAAAAACATCCATAATAACCTTTCAGCATATTGTAATTCAAGTGGTCTGAGAGTGAACTACACTCCTGCACCCCCTTCTTGGCTTTGTTTTTAAGCTGCAGAAAGTCTGTGAAAAAAAAACAGGTCTTTTCAGAACAAATCAGATGAGCTGAAAGAAGCTTGAAGAGAAAAAAATAACTTCGTAGATGCAACGTGTTCAGGACGTCTCCCCGGAGAGACTGAGATTTGAACCCCATGTGAAGTGGAGGGGAGAGCTGCAGGGAAAGCCATGCCTATTTTAAAATACTGACATTTAAATGAATTCATGTCATCAGCATTTCTGCTGAGCCTACATGAGTCACATGTACAGCAGGTACTATCAGAGGTGGAGCCCGGAGGATAACAACCCTGTAATTTCAGTGCAGAAAGCCAGACCATTATTGTAATACATGTTGAAGGGGAAAATATCTTAATATGATCAAAATATGAACTGCTAAAAAAATTAAAGGAGCACTTTGAAAGCTCATCAGATCTCAATGGGGAAAAATTATCCCAGATATAATTCCTGCTGTATGCTTGACTACATTTTGGATCCATAATATTCTCCTTAGAACCCAAACCTCTGACAACCAGGCCTATTTCTGATCCTCCACAATGCTCACTCTGTGCCTGAGGCCGAGTCAGAAGTATTTACACGGCTACCTCAGTTATTTTCCTCTGCTGAGGATACAGAGCCTGTCGTCTGTCAGCCGGCTTAGACAAAAACCATCAGGCCGAATGTCATGAAACCTGGCGAGGAGGTAAAACACTTTGGAGTTGCTGCAGATCACTTTTGGTTTTAAATTTGCAACACAATGAATTGGCTTTGGCTCCTCGAATATTCTTCTAAATGTTTACTGCACTTGTCGTGTGGATCCAGACTAACAGAAAAAAGAAACCGCGAGCACCACTGAGCCAAAATTCAATAATGAGCCCTGGAACTACATGTTTTTACCTCATTTGTATCAGCACCAAACACCAGCAGGCCTGTGTCACAACAAAATATGAAAATGCCATAATTTCTGTATTTGTGCTTGACTAATGTGAAACAAACTCGGAGTAAACAGAAATCCTTTATAATGGGGATCAGTGCAGAATCCTACTCTGATTCTGCAGAGGGCAGGGCTGCTCAGGGTTGTAATGAGGGAGATTCTGTCTTTGTTGTTGCTATTTGTTGTTTTAATGAATGGATGCGAGCCACTGAATAGTGTAACAACATGGCTGTGAAACATTTACCACAAATGCTGTGAGTGTAGAACTAAAATCTTTTTAGTTAGTCATGTTTTCCCTTTTTTGTTTACTTTCCAAACATGGCGCAGGGCTTTGTGCAATGACTGCTGAGAGACTGAAGAAACACCAACTTTATTAAAGCTACGTCTCTGACAATAATACCTTTCATGGACCGAGCAGAGTCGTAGTAAGTGAGTGAAAGTTGCAGGTCTATGTGAAGCAGCACGTAGTGCATCAGGCTTTAAAGCTTAGATACAGGCTTTAGGCAGGCTTTTATTTATCACCATGGAAACTGGATTCCTCACAGGGGAACATTCCGGCACGCGGAGCCGGGTCCAGATGTGGAAATCCAGCACGCTATCGTGCATCTTTCATCTAGCCGAGTTCTTGGCAAGAAGCTGGGCTGAGATGGTTTCTGTCTAAGCAGTAGCTGCCGGGGTCAGCCTTCCTCCTCCAGCATCAAAGCTTCTTCTTCCTCGGGGAGGCGGCGCTCAGTGTAAGTGTCATACTCTTTCTCATGTGTCTTTTGTTTCCTTTAAAAGGATCTCGCGCTGTTTCTCCCTATCTGTCCACACTAGTCTCTGCCAGGCGGTTGTTCATGATGCCCAGTGCACCCACCCCTCCCGAGAAGCCGTTCTGACGTGAACTGGAGCTGGACTGGCGCTGGTTCCCGATTGCCATCTCCGAAAGCTGCTTTTGCATAATGGCCAAGTTCACCTAGAGGAAGAGATTAAAAAAAATCAGCACAAGAGGAAATCTGCAGAAAACTGTGGAAAGTGAAGTGTTACATTCAAGCTATAAAGTCTTGGCAAACAAACTCAGATCAAACGGCAGCAGCTGATTTCACAGGTGCATTAAAAAGCTGACAGATGGTATTTCTTCTTTAGTGGGCTTTAAGCAAACAAAGGTGAAAAGTATTGACGCGAGTGTCAGTGATTTAACTTTTGCCACTCAGCAACTTTTACCTTTGATTTTTTTTCTGCACAACAAAGAGCAGAAAATGCAACCGGCTTGTTTTGTATATAATCGGCTGTAAATGTACCCACTGTCAGGTCAGGACTTTATGGTTTTAAGGACTTTACTTTCTCCATTCCCAGCTGCTTTATTTTACCTGTGACCATGGAAGTGATTGGAACACCTGAATTCAATGAACTGGATGGGTGAGTGAATACAGTATCTGCTGACTTTGGCAAACCTGGCACACGTTCACCTTCATACTGTTTTGGGTGAATAAGTGCACCACAAGCACTTGAAACACCACACACCTCTGACGCCCGTTGCTTGTATTCTTGGCTTTATAGCAGAAATCAAGAGGCCAATCAAAGGATCCATTTTTCAGCCAGTAGAAAGAGGATATATTGTGAGTGCGTATGCTAGCTCAGAGGTTAGAAAGCTGCAAATGTTTACAGATGCTCGTGCAGATGATCCAAATTGAGGCACAATTTTTAGACTGTTTTGTTTGTTTTTGTTACATCATGGTTTATTATGAGGATAATGAGAGGATGGAGAAGATGTGTACTGGTACCAGTTTACAAGAACAAGGATGATGGGAAGAGCTGTAGTAACTACAGAGGGATAAAACCGATCAGACACACCACAAAGACGTGTGAAATAGTTGTTGAAGCTATGCTGAGAAGGGAGGTGACAATCAGTGAGCTTGCTTTAATCTGAGAAAGAGCAGATGCAATGTTTGCTTTGAGAGTGTTGATGAAGTATAGAGGTCAGTAAAAACTTCACTCTGCCTCTATGGAACTAGAGAAACTATATGATAGCACCAAAAGAGGAACTG